CCCGCCTACTTTTACCCGGATATCTCTTAGCTAAATATAACTACTCTATATATCGGAAGGATCTAGCTAAGCTTTAACTCCCGTTCGTAAACGTGTATATAGTACTCGATAACGCACCGTATATATCGACTAGAGGAATATAGGCCCTTAAGAGATAACTAATAATGCTAATATACTACTTAGACTACGTAGATAACGTCTATCTACTAGGTAACCGTAATATGGGCGTCGGCATTATTATATCTACTATAGGGTGGGTACTATTAGTTAGGTATAGCGCTTCTAGGGAGAAAAGAGAATTACTTCGACCTATACGGCCCTCTTTAAGACGAAGACTTAAGAGTCCTTCTTAAATAGAGTATATTATAGTAATAAAGCACGGCATCGAATTTATAAAGGTAGAGAAAGTAAACTATATATATCCTACTAAGCGTAATATATATATTACGGTCGGCGGATTTAAAGGAGACCGCGTTAACTATAGAACGTATAAGATACCTAGACTACTTATAAAGTAACGAAATATAACTACCTATTTAAACCCCGCCTATCGTTTTTTTTTTTCAAGCTATTAAAAAAGGGAGAGAAAGAGAAGGAAATAGAGAAAAGAAGAAAGAAAGAGAAAGAAGGAGATCGATAGATAGTAGGCGGTAGGGGCAGTAGAACTATAATAAATTCGAAATTAAATATCCCTTACTTAATCTTACTACTATCTTTACTCTCTATACTTAACGTATCCTTCCCATCCCTTTTCCTCTTATAGAATACTATACTATATTTATCTCTTAGGTACTGAAAAGTTCCGTTCTCTCCGTTAATCTCGTTATTATAAAGAGAATAAGGGCATATATAAGTCCGACGTCTAATCGATACGAGATATTTCTTAATATACTTCTCTAATATCCTACCCCCTTTAAGAAGTTAGTGGTACCGTTATAAAGGCACCCCAGGCCTACTAAGGTAGAAAGGGTATAGAGCTATAAAAATTACTATACCTACCCGGGTAATCCTACTATAAAAGTAGTCTTTTAAGTCTTAAAGGTAACCCTCGTAGTGCTAGTTCTACTTTAAAGTTAATTCTATCCACTTAGCGCACTAGTGGTAGAAATACGCCTTATTAGTTAGCGTATATTTAGACGGCACGTTATATAACTTTAATAAGTGTGTGCTAAGTTCCTTCGTGTTAGCAACTAGTAAGGAATAGTTATTCTAAAGATAACGGCCGGCGCGAGTGCGAAGGACGTATAAGAAAGTAACGTATTCGGATATAGCGCTAAGTAGCTAGTTAACGAAATTATAGCCGTAGTTTAACTAGGAGCACCTTATAATACCTAGCCTACCGGTTAGAATCGTTTAGTAGGAACGGATAGGAACTAATAGAAGCTAGATAGTAGGGCTTTACTTTAAACGCTTAAAGATATAGTAGGCGTTATTATATTCTTTCTTACTTTATTACTAACGAGTTCGGTGGCACCGGAGTAGATAGTTATTAAATATAGCGCGGCCGGTCCTATTATACTATTAGTATACTTAAATAAGGTTTAAATTACGTTTTAAGTACTTACCGATGCTAGTATTCCCTCCCGCACCAGATACATTTATCGTTTTCGAAGGATATAGAATAGTAGAGGTTCTAGCTCTCTAGATTCGCCAGCTTAGCTAAAATTAAAATGGCTTTAATTATCGAAAGAGATAATACTTCTCCCTTATTCCCTCTTAGATAGAAGGTATTCGCCACTTCTATCCTAACTAGATCGTACTTAAATAGAATATTTATAAACCTAGACGGTTTCGGTCGCATACGCTTAACACTATTCTTAGTAATATAGTCGTAGTCTATATTCTTACCCACTATAGGATAGTATAACTCGGTCGTTAGTGTGTCGAAGAAACTCTTATATTTATCCTTAGTACGCTTTCGCTTTTCTTAAGAGAACTAGGAAGACTTCGCGCGGAAGCTCGCGCTCGTAGAGGCGCGAGAACTAGAAACCGTAAGAGAGTATAGATTTAGTACGCGAAGATTCTAACGAAAGTTTATAGAATAGACCTAGTCGATAGAGGTTTTACGTTAATCCTCTTCTATAATAATAGCTTAGGAGTCGACTCTAGAAACCTTAGATAGGTAGTATATAAATATAGTCTCGTTCTTATATTCTATCTCTCTTTATCGCTCGGTAGATGTAATTAACTCTAAGTAGGTGTTAATACTTATACCGTATAAAAATAGGTCTAATATACGTACTATCTAGGGCGTTTCCTACCCCTCTCTAAAAATAGTAGGAGGTTAACGTCTCCTCGTATCTAGCCCTCCGGCTAAGCTCTACGAGCATCTTATTCTAAACCGTAAAGATAAGAATTTTAGTTGCCGAGATAGAATACTAATCGCCATCTATCGTACGGATAATAGATACTTCCTATACCTTCTCCGGAAAGATTATATATTTAGAGTTTGCACCGGGATCGATCGTCGCATCTATAATCTTAGATATAGTTAGGGCGCCGTCCGCAATCGTAAGGGTAATAAAATAAGTAACGACGTAATATACGCGATTTTCCGGGCTCTAGAAAAAAGGTTTCTATATTCTACTAAGATAGATTACTTCGTAGGTCCGCTAGCGATAGAATCTTTCTATACTTATATACGAGTTGCTTAATTTCTTACGCCTTTCTTAAGTCTTCGTTTAATAAGCAGGATAAAGCCCTCCGTATCGGTTAGAATTAGCTTAATATCTTTATACTTAAGTCTATCGTTTATACCTCGATAAAGGCTGCTTTTAATAATCTCTCCCGGACGGATACTACGGAATAAGTATAGAAGTATACTAAAAGCCAACTATAGACGAAATCGGGAGTGGTTAAAGGTATACTCGTCGTAAACCTAAAGAAAGTAGAGTATATTCTAGATAACGGTAAAATTAGCTAGTCCTTTTAGAGCGATATTAACGGATACGCCTTTAATAACCGTAAGAGATTCGATATACTATAATCGTTAGAGTATTCTTTAGGAAAAAAAACCCCTCTCCGTTATATTACCTTACTTATACTATCGCGTATATATTTTTTATACTTATACCCCGTTCGATATCGTACTATACGTTTTAACTCGTCGAAAACCCTTTTTAGCGTCTAGATACTTATACGCCGGTCGCTTTATCCCGGGATATATCTAACTATCCACTAGAAGAACCTTTAGATAGCTATAATACTTAGAAGACGGCGAAGGTTAGAGACGTAGTCCTCCTTATTTATAGCTAATAGGCTAGCCATCTATTTCGCCTCGAACCTACTAATAATTAGTATAGCCTAGTAAAAAGGGTCTCTAATATACTCGGTCTAGCGCTCTAAGACGAGCTATATCCGGGCACGTTACTTAAAGCTTTCTATAAAAGGTATATAAGGGCGCTTAGAGTTAGCCTCTTAGTCGAAGATATTATTATCGATAATATCTTCGAAGCGTCTCTTCTTCTAGATTTTAAGGGGAGGTATAGTGGGCGGGATATAAGAGAGAGTATCTTTACGAGAAAGGCTAACGATGTATTTTCGACGATAGCGACTTAAGTAGGAGAGATTTCTAGCGTCTTTATAGGTCGAGAGGCTTTTGCTTCGGCGGCTCTAGCGCACGCAGTTATATTAGTATAGACGACGCATACGCCCCGTAAAGCGTAACCGCTAGAAATCAGGCGATGTGTGGGGCGGTAATATTCTTATAAGTCCCTACGCTAATTAGGCGTTACCGTGCTTGAGTGGTAGTAGGGGGGTTAAAGGGCAGAGTTCTACCGGGCGGGATAGTGGAAGTTAGCAGTATTATAGCAGGCGGTAAGCAGGAAAGGGCAGAAACATAGCGGGCGGGAAGCTGGAATATGGCGGGCGGGAAGCGGGCGGGAAGCGGGCGGTAAGGTGACGCTTAAACGTCGGCTAGAGGTCAGGGTGCTAATTTGCGACCTCTAGGATGATAAATTCCCGGATGCGAACAACCAATCAAATACGCGGAGAGCGCTAAGCAGTTGAGTTGGTTATTACGTCAGTCTAACACGTGACACTTGCGGTCCGTGGACACTGAAGGTCCCGAGTTCAAACCTCGGCCGTCGTACATTTTTTTTTTCTCCTTTTGTCAATCAGAGACGACTTCGATACGCCAGGAGTTGGGTGTGGAGTTTGGGTGGAGGCGAGTGCGTGGCGCTTTTGGTGGGCGACAGACCTTTCAGCAGCTCGTGATGCGATCGCCCAGTTCCTTTTTTGGACCTTCAATTATTCCCGAAACGCCTACTGTACGGCTGGCTGAGAAGGTCGAGCTCTCAGAACTTAGGCGTGGCGATGCCAGTCGGTGTGCAGGAGGAACGGCGTGCCACAGCAGCTTGCAGTGTTTCAGTTCTGTTTTCGTCCTGCATGCAGCTTGCTCATCACTGTGAATACCACGGAAGGGGTGTCCATGTCTGTGTGGTCAGATACTTGAAAGACTTTCATGAACTTGAAGCTTAGCGGAACAAAGAAGAAAGGAGCGTGACACATGATTATATTATCCTTGATTGAGAATATATGTGTCGACGAGGGATGTAGAGGAAAACATGTCATTCCTCAAGACATGTCAGGCGGCTATCGATAAGCACTTCGATCCGGTCCACTATGTCATGAAGAAGCTGAGATGATCAACAACGTCTTGCTCTGTTGATTTCACGAGTCCGGTCGGCGGCGCCTCGGTCTCGGAACAGCTGGAATTTGTGCCGAGCGGTGAAGCCAAACCTGCCAAAGGGTGCTGCTGTCACTTACGGTGATGCTGCGGACCCACTCTATGGCGGGCTAGTGAGGTAGCAAAACAAGCCACAAACCAGCGTCAGATAGCCCCGGGCAGCACTCTTATCTACAAGGGGCTAGCCGTCCCACGTGTCTCTAAAAAGTGCAGGTAGGTAGCCCGAGCAGGGACCAGCATAAAAACGAAACGTCTACATCGCACCACCACCCACGCCTCCCACCACGTCGTCCCCCACCCATCCACCACCATCATGGGCATCAAGGTCCCCAAGTTCTCCCGGCGCGGGCTCAAGCCCTACGCGGCCGAATTCCTCGGCACGGCGCTGCTGATAGTCATCGGCGAGGGCGTCATCGCGCAGTGCCTGCTCTCCGACTTCCACAACGGCACCTGGCTGTCCATCAACCTCGCGTGGGCGGGCGCCGTGGCGCTGACGTCGTTCCTCGCCGACCCCAGCCCGACGGTCAACCCGGCCGTCACGCTCGCCCTGGCCGCCGTGCGCGGGCCCGCCCACCAGCACTGGCGCGAGGTGCCCGGCAAGCTGCTCGCCCAGTTCGCCGGCGCCTTCGTCGGCGCCGCCCTCGTCTACGTCAACTACCGCTCCGCCATCCTCGCCTGGGACCCCGAGTACACCATCCCCGGCGGCAGCATCATCAGCCCCATGGGCCACCACTCGGCCGGCATCTTCGCCACCTATCCCTCCGCCCTGCTCGTGTCCAACTGGGAGGCCGTCTTCCAGGAGGTGCTGGCCTCGGCGGTGCTGATGTTCTGCGTGCTGAGCATCGCCGAGGGGCCCAACACGCGCTTCGGCGCCCCGCAGGTGTCCGTTTTCATCCTGATGGTGGCCATTGGCGCCGCCCTGGGCTGGCAGACTGGTTACGTATGTGTCTTGCTTCCGCTTTTTTTTTTGGTTATTTCTGGCTGCTGACACTTTTTTTTTCTTTCCCGCCATCAGGCCGTCAACCCGGCGCGAGACTTTGGCCCGCGCCTGTTCTCGGCCATCATGTACGGCCGCGAGGTCTTCACCGCCGCCAACTACTACTGCTTCGTGCCCCTCTTTGCGCCCATCTTCGGCTGCCTCTTCGGCGCCACCGTCTACGACTTTATGCTGTTCGAAGGCGAGGGCTCCTGGGTCCGGGATGCCGCCGACAAGGTCAACTCGGACCACCACGGTCCTTTGAGGCTGCTGGACTAAAAGAAAAGAAAAAAACCGAAGTTGCCTATCTGTTGCGTAAAAGAGGGCTGCGCGCACATTGTAAAACAGAGTGACCGTCTGTAGACACTTTTTTTTTTTTGGCGGGGTGCGAGATGGACAAGAAGTTGCCAGTAGCAGAAAAGCACGGGCTGCGAGACAGCTGAACGGCCGTCATGAAGTCAGATCATGTCCGGATAAAGATATATAGAGCATCCTTGTTGTTTGGACGGTTTTTCACCATCTCTACCTTCATGCATAGACTATTGGGCTTCATGTTAAGATGAAGGTGTAAGGCGCAATGAGTACATAAGAGTTTGCTTTTTTTGCTTTCGAGTTTTCTTCTGCAATCAATTGAATGTAGTCACTCAAACTGCGTTACAAAAAACAACAAGGAAAGGTAGGTGGTTCTACCCGGAAGAACAGGCACATTTGACAAGTAACTGTGTGCTCCGCTTACGATTAGAGTTGGGTTCAAGCTCGCCTATACCATCTCACATCCAGTCGAGTCTTGCAAGTATCTCTCCAAATCTTTGGACTCTCATCAAAAGCATGAATGAAACATTTCAAATCTACAACTTTCTCTCTCTTTCTCTACCCAAAAATAGGAATCAACGCCAACACACCACCATGCCAAGCCCGAGGAAAAAAAAAAGAAAAGCCAGACAGACCAGCATCCCCCGTCCTCCGCCTCCGCGTCCGCCCCTCACTCCTCCGCCCTCGAAACCCTCACCACCAACCCGCCCCTCGGCCTCAGCGTCAGCCCGGGCACCAGATCCGCCAACGGATCCGGCCCGTCGTACGCGAAATCGAAGCTGCCGACCAAGCCCACGACCACGGCCTTGAGCGCCCGCAGCGCGTACTCCTTGCCGATGCACGACTTGGCGCCCATCGAAAACGTCAGGTACGACCCGTTCGTCTCCATGCCGGCCCGCCTGTTCTCGGGCGCCCACCGCTCGGGCACGAAGTCGTCGGCGTCGGGCCCCCACACGGCGGGCGAGCGGTTGATGGCGAAGGTGGGGATGGTGAGCTGGGTGCCCTTGGGGATGGGGACGCCGGCGACGGTGGTGGGAGCGGCGGCTTGCTTCCAGGAGTTGGGGATGGAGGGGTAGAGGCGGGTGACTTCCATGACGAAGTGGTGGAGGTAGGCGATGGAGTCGAGCTGGGCGCTGGATAGCGGCAGGGCGGGGTCGGGGACGGCTTGGCGGACGGCGGCGCGCAGGCGGGCGGCGACGAGCGGGCGCGTGGCGAGCACGTAGATGGCCCAGATGAGGGTGGCGGCGTTGGTGCCGAAGCCCGCGGCGGTGAAGGTCATGGCGTTCTCGATCAGGTCGTAGTCGGTGAGGTCTTTGGTGTTGAGCATCACCGAGAGCATGTCCTTGTGCGTGCCCTCGCCGTCGGTCGACATGTCCTTGCTCTTGCGCTCCTCCATGAACTGGCGGTAGCGCTCGTTCATGTGGCGGCGGTCCTTGAGCTGCTCCTGGTACTTTTTGATGGGCAGCTTGTTGAGCAGGGTGTGGTTGACGAAGAGGGGCAGCACGTAGACGCAGAAGGCGTCCCAGCCCTTGTGGCCCTCGATGGGGAAGTTGCGGTCGAAGAGGTCGTAGAAGTGCGAGGGGTCCTCGATGCCCTTGAAGTCGGCGCCCCACTGGGTGGCGCCGAGGATGTCGAAGGTGCAGTAGTTGGTCCAGTCGAGCATGTTGAGCTCGGCCACGCCGTGGGGCGCGTCGTCGACGATGGAGAGCAGCTTCGACCGGAACCGCTGCACCTGCTTCCACATGTCCGGCACGAGGCGTCGCTGCTGCGAGGGCGTAAAGGCCGGGCCGAGGGCCTTCTTCATGCGCTGCAAGTGCTCCACCGTTAGCGCAACTGCATCTTCCCCAAACGCGCATGTGGCTCCCAAGTAGTACTACTCACCCTGTGCCGCGGACCTTCGGCGAGGACGAGCCCGTCACCGAGCATGGGGCCCAGCGCCTCGCGGAAGCCGTCGGGCCACTTCATGTCCTCGTTGTTCACGATCTGCCTGACGGCGCTGGGGCTCATGGGGAGCAGCTTCTCCTCGCCGAAGAAGCCGGTGCAACGGAGGAAGTCTGTGTGAGCAATCTCCTTGCCCCACTCCCACGCCAGGACGCCGGTAGCGCGGCCCAGTTCCTCGAGTCCATGGCCGAAAAGGAAGCTTCCGCCCTGTGCGAGCCGTCAGAACAAACCGGTTCATCCGGCATTGGGTTTGCTGGGGGACTTACCTTGGGACCAGGGATTTTTCGGAGAGGGCTCAGGACGGATGGCCACAGCCAGCACACGGCGACGAGGTTGATTGCGATTTCGAGAGATAGAGCGACGACGAAGGTACCCCATTGTCCCAGTACAGGAGCAGGGAAGTACTTGCCGCCCACGAGGGCGAGAGCAGCGAAGAGGAGTAGTTTGGAAAACATGTTTATTGTTGTGTGCTTGGAAGGTACTGTGGACTCTCTACAGCTCTGAGATATAGTCCCATTCAAGCGCCCAGCCCGTCTCAGCCGTGTTCATCGATCAGGCCATGATAGCGTGAATGCATGTTGTGGGATTGCTATTTCGCGTTGGTGGATGATCAGCACCCCGTGAGATGGCGGGGCGAAATCTCACAGGGGAGCCGTATGCTGGAAATGCTTGTCTCGACTCTTGGCTTTGCTGATGATTTGCTTATGTTGATGATCACGGTTGCTGACGCTCACCCTTGTGAAGATCGTGGCTGAGCACCGAAGCGCCGGATCCTTCAACCCACCGCAAGCGAAGCGGGACCTACGTGCACATCCGGCTCATTTTAGAACCTTCTTATTTTTAGATTTGGCGTAACTGCCGACATCTCGGCTTTCGTGCTTGCATTGTTCATTTTGCCCGCACGTGGCCATTTATGGGTCGGTTTTGCGTCGTCTTTCCACGCGGCGCCACTGAGATGCTGCCGCTGTCGCAATTACCATCTAAATTATCGGGCGAGCTCTCGTTCAATCGAGTAAATAATCTCGTGCTGTGATGTACTGTCGCTAGGAATACAGGTGACACTGGCCAGCTCCAAGCGTGCATGCGAGATATTGGTGATTGAGACCACAATAGATGTCACTGGGTGCAGCAGGCCAATTGGTGAAGTTTGTAGAGATTCGCATGAGAAACAGAAATAATTAACCAGTAAACGACAAAGAAAAGTTGAAGCACCACGCCGCCCAAGAGAAAACTGAAAGAAAAAATCCCATACGAACACGGCACACACAAACTCTGCCTGCGTCGAGTGGATACAAGATGTGTTAAATGCCTGACCTTGATTCTTCATCTGAACCACAACAATGCACATTGTCCTAATGTTACCAGCAGTGGAATTTCTACTTATCCAATAACATTGCTGATTGTATGTGAACACCATGGCACCAATCGAATTATATAAACTCTTCGAACCAGTACTATAGACCAACCAGACAAGTCCTCCGACAACACTCGTACCGAAAAGTTCCAGCAATATGGCGCAGCCTACGGACCTCTTCGGGGCCGACGGCACGCCTCTCCACGAGGACAACGTTTATCAGGACATCCTCAGCAAGCACATGGACCAGATCTGCGACTTCGAGGACCGCTACCGCCAAATGGGCACGCAGTGGAACCTCACCGACGTCCGTGTCCGCGACGGGGCCCCGGAGCTGGACCCCGCCACGAACCTCGGAGCGCGGTATGCGCGCGACTTCTTCGACGTCCGCGACGAGCACGCCCCCGTCCGCGATGTCGGCCACGAGATCGAGGCGCTGATCGCCGACGCGCGCAGCCGCATCCGCCGCGGCCACTACAGGTTTGTCAAGATGCTCCTCGATGAGATTGACTGGTGCATGGCGGATCTGAAGCGCAGGCTGGACCTGGCTGACGATGCGACCCAAGAGGCTGACCGTTTGCACATGGAGCGCGTTGCGACGGTCGCCATCCGCGGTGCCCAGGGCATCCAGTTCAGCGCGAGGGAGGCCGGGCTGAGGCGCTGGGATAGGACGCTGCCTGCGGTTCCAGTGACTGGGACTTTCATGGCGCCTCTGTCCAATTTCGGAGTTGCGTCCCTTTTCCTCCCTGCCGAGGCAGCCGAGGAGATGAGCTTCGCTGAGCACATCTTCATCAGCAGGTACTTTGGCGACCCAGAGGCTCCCGGTTTGCCTCGCGGCTATGAAGCTAACCCTTCTCTATTCGAGCAGAGGAATGATGTCATCTGGGCCTCTAACCCTGACTTGCGGGACTTGCCGTAGATGATCAAAGGAGCGGCCGCAGAGCTTCCACTGACCCCCAGCACTCTGGTACAGCTCCGTGTAAGTACTGCAGAAAACGTAGGCCGATAGAAAAAAAAGATCAAATTAGATCGAATCGTCGAAACCTTGCATGCATGCGTGAAAGTGATCAGTGAAAGTAATCAGTGAAAGTGACCAGGCCACAGGGAACTCTATTGGTAACGAAACGATGCCTCCACAGACCCCTACGAAAAGCAAGCACAACAAAACTCATGGCAAAAAAAAAAAAAGAGAAAAGAACCAGAACCGCTATCCCGCAAAGAACCAGAACCAGAGAGAAGCTCCTCCCCTCCCCTCCCCTTCCCTCTCCTCCCAACCCCCTGAATCCCCCACTCACCCCAAACACGTCGCATACCCCCTCAAAACCCCATCCCCCCTCACCGCCTCCAAACACCCCGCCTCCAAATCCACCGCCACCTCCAACCCCCCGGGATACCCTTCCTCAGCCCCACCAACCTCCACATCCCTCACCCCAAACGCCGGCAAAACGCAAACCAATCCATCGAACTGCCCTCCCCCGGGCAGCCGCATCCGCCTGAACCGCCCGCACCCCAGCTCGACGTCGGCGCCGCTCCCGAAGGATTTTTCCCACGACGTGGCGACGACGTCGGGGCCGGGGCCACCACCGGTGATGCCGCCGAAGCAGCGCCACGGGTTGACGACGTCCGAGGCGCGCGGCTGGGCGGCGACGAGGGCGAGCTGCGCGCGGAGGAAGCGGGGGCAGGTTTTGGCGGTGAGGGAGGCGCGGATGCTGGTGGCGAGGGTGGCGAGGGAGGCGGTGGGGGTGGTGGTGGTGGGGGTGGTGGAGGAGGAGGAGCGGCGGGAGGAGGAGGGGGATGAGGGGGAGGAGGACGAGGGGGAGGGACCGCCAAAGGCGTCGGGCTCGACTGCGGCGGCGGAGAAGAAGGCGGCGTTGCCAAAGTAGCCTGGTGCGAGGGGCGGCTCCAGCTTGGAGCGGCCGTTGACGGCGAGGGCAAAGGTGCAGCGGTCCGGGCGTTTGGTGGCACTGTCGGTGGGCTTGAGGGAGGCGAGGCGGGCGCGGGCGATGGCGCGCCAGATCAGGGCGCAGACGGCGTCGTGGGTGGAGATGCGCAGGGCGGTGGCGGCTTGCACGTCGGCGTGCAGGCGCTTGAGGGCGGCGGGGCGGAAGTGGAAGATGGCGTTGTCGACCTTGGGGCGGGCGAAGGCGAGGGCTTTGGCGACGAACATGACCGAGGGCGGCGGCAGCTGGAGGCCGAAGATGTGGGGGCCGGCGTTGGGCTTGACGGTCCATTCGAGGGAGAGGTCGACGGGCTCGTCGTCGTCGTGCGAGGTGATGGCGAGCGAAGTGCTGTCGTGGACGGACCGGGCCTTGCCTTCCTTCTCGATGGCGAGCCGGGTCGACGACTCGGCGGCGGACGACGACGGCTTGTGCTGGGCGTACAGGCGGGCGCGCTCGAACCAGCTCTTCATCAAGAAGCCGGTGGCGGTGGCGTCGAGGAGGTAGTGGTGCTTGTTGACCATGAGCACGTAGCCGCCGGCGATGAAGGTCAGCTGCACCGAGAAGGTGTCGCAGCCGCCGTCGCCGTCGGGGCGCGGCACGGCGTCGACGCCGGCGGCGAAGACCTTGGGGTCGAGGTGCTGCGACGGGAAGCCGAGATCCGGGCGCAGCGACTCGAGGGTGATCTTGTCGTGGGTGGCGACGACGAAGGGCAGGCTGGAGTCGTGCTTGACCCGCACGAAGAGCCGGCCGTTGTCCGGCCTGGCGTGCACCTTGCCGAGCAGCTGCGGGAAGGCCAGCGCGTGGCCGTCGTCGTCGGGCAGGCGCAGGAAGGACTCGAGGCTCCGCTTCAGCCGGTCGGCCAGTTCATCGCGGTAGGCTTGCGGGCTGCCTGTCTCGCCGCGCGTGTCGTAGATGAAGATGTACCGGCTGTTGATTGCGGGCGGGATGTTGTCGGCCAGCGTCAGGTCGAAGGTTGCATCGAACGGCTGGGCGGCCGTCAGGCGGAACGTCTTGGTGCTCGGGGCGGACGAGGATCGGAAGAACATGGTGGATGAGACGAGGTGATCTGTGGGTGCGTGGGGCGATGAATTACCGGGTCCTGGTCGGATTACATGTTATAAAGGTCAAGCTTTTGGGTGCATCTGGGGGCCGTCATGCTAAGCGCCCGGCCCGATCCCTGGGCGACGCAGATTACCCGAAATAGTAATATTGGTTCAGCTGCCTGGTCAGTGAGCCGTCAGCTTACGAAGATCTGTCTGTCTTAAGCGAGACCCCGCAAGACGCCCAGGAGGTACACCAAGCGTGCTGAGCACGTGGAGGATAGACGGTTTGCGTGTGAAGATGCTGATTTTGATTCTAAAATTATCGTCAAGATGCCAACTGTGCGAGGCAGTGTCACTGAAGTCGTGCACCTGGCTGGATAGTACTTGAAGCCACCACGCCGAGCACTTGGCAACACCATCACTTGGCAATCACATCTTCGCTCAACAAGCTTCTCTTGGCAGCTTAAACTTTATCTCTTTGTACACAATACTGAAAACACACTCAACACGCACAATGGCATCGACCCTCGCAACCACCCTTGCCCACGATGCAGCCATCACCAGCGTGGCTTATGCCACCACCAGCCTTCTCTACCGGCTGTCTCACCGATACCTCAAGTCCACCGTTGTCCACTGGGACAATGTGAAGCCCGGCGTGCAGAACCGGATGGCATGCGAGATTGCACTCCTCCCCACCCGGGCCATCCTGTTCCTCCTCTGCGCCCCGGCAATCATGAGCGCCTTCGCCGCTCCGGAAATCTGGACGCACTTGGACACATACCGCATGATCCTCGCCTCGTGAGTTCCACCACCCAATGATCCTGCCATGCCGAGACTGACCACAGCAACAGGGCCATCATGGGCGGCAGCTACATGTTCGACCTCACCATCGAGCGCAACGACACGCTCTCGCTCATCCACCACTTCATGGGCCCGGCGCTGCTCCTCTGGGTGCGCTGCTCGTACTCGGCCTTCAACTCGTCCGACGCGCTCATGTGCCGCATGCTCGTCTCCTTCGTCTTCTTCGGCGCCGGCGTCGGCGGCTCCGTCACCACCGTCATGCTCGTCCTCATGAAGCTGTTCAAGCGCCAGATCTCGCCCGCCGTCCTGTACCGCGCCGTCGTCGCCCTGTCGTGGGTGCTCACGCTCAACACGTGGCTGTCCACCATGTACGGCTGCACCTACCTGCTGTGGGCCTTCGAGGACCTGCACAGCCACTGGGGCGACTTCGCCGGCCTCGTCCCCCTGGCCCTGTGCGGCTTTGAGTTCTGGCTCCAGTGGCGCTGGGCCCTGCGCTTCCAGGGCATCTCCGAGGGCCTCGGCGCTGCTGCTGGCATCGCTCCCGTTGCTGCCGTCCCTGCTGCTGGTGCTGAGGAGAAGCAGAAGAAGAAGATGTTGGTTCTGTCGTCGTTTGAGAACATGAGCGCGGAGAAGATTAGCGCAAACACCATGGCGCTGTCGTGGGCCGTCGGCTACTCGGGTGTGTGCATGAAGGTTTTGGAGAAGCTCACCATCCGTCTGATGATGTGAATGTAGAGAGATGAGGGGAAGATAGGAGGAATTTTTAAATACCATATAGACATAGGCCAGATTGAAATGCGACTCCGATTTCTTTTTTTTAAAAAAAATAATTATTGGCACCGTACTACTTCAGTGAGTCTTAGATAGAACCATGCATGGATTAATTCCCTAATGGAAAGCCCTGACGAGCTGTTGGCCTATATACTATGTGTTTAACATTGAATCTGCACTCATTCAGTATTTGGCGGCCCGTTCCGCGGGTTCTTTAGTTTGCGTTTCCGGAAAACAATAAACACCAGCTTAGCGGCACAAGGCCATCGCTTAAAATTTGAAACATTCGCTACACAAGATCTTGCAAGATTTCAACATGTTTGACGTGTTAATCAAAGATGCATACGCATGGGATTTGCTGTATTATCAAAATCAGCGCTTCTTCACAGGGAATTTACCAGTCCACTGATTATGCGATAGACGACGTCCACCACCAGAAGACTTGCCTGCATTCAGACAATAACAACATATGAGACTTGGCAAAGCAACGATGGCTTAATTTCTAAATTTGTTCCACTGTTCGTTTAATCCGAATCAACTCTCGTACGTTTACGATGGCTGGAAAGCCACAGCATCGCCAGCCTTTGGCGTCAAGGCTGCTGCACTAAATGTGCGACAGAAATAACTGAGGCTGCTGTATAGTGCGAAGCTAGCCGCGAAATCGCGGGGTTGCGGGTGGCTGTGCTGAAGGAAGACGGGGAGGACAGCTGCTTACGGTAAGGCCGGCGGTTGCCCAGCGGCCCCAAAGCTTCGCCCGAATGAACAAGGCTTAACGGAAAGAGCCAAGCCACCGGCGTCTGACGCCCTTTGGGTGGTCAGCTTACGGTTCGCATTATACTCGGAGCGCTGCTGAATCCCATGTCGCCCGGTATTCGTCAGTCTCTTGCAAAGACAATAATCCAACATGCTCGTTTTTTCTTACGCTTGGCAAAAGCCGTGGCTTGCGAGAGTGCTTCTTTCGTCCATGCCAAGGTACCGCTTCGGGTACGCCGCGATAGACAGAGTCGGGCCTCAGCGCAGCGAGGAATCAATAAATAGGCTGGGTGCGACGGGTACGAACAAGGAACAACATCAATCACTTCAGTCTACATTCAAGCGACGGGCCTCCACCTTCACTTATCGCCTCTCCACTTTCATTCACACCCTCGTCCTCTCTGCAAACAACCATCTCCGCAATGGCAGCCACCACCGCAGCCCCCGCCCCGCTCTGGAGCGTCTTCGACGCGTCCTGGACCGCCATGACGGGCTCGCCGGCGTCGGCCTTCGCCTTCACGCCATCGACGGCGCCGTTCGCGACGCTCAAGTCGACCGTGTCGATGATGGCCGTCTACTACGCGGCCATCTTCGGCGGGCGCGAGCTGATGCGCAACCGGCCGGCCTTCCAGCTCAAGACGCCGTTCATGCTGCACAACTTCTTCCTCACCGCGCTGTCGGGCGGGCTGCTGGTGCTGTTCCTCGAGCAGATTGTGCCCACGCTGTGGCGCCGCGGCGTCTACGACTCCGTGTGCGCCGCCGACGCGGGCTGGACGGAGCCGCTCAACCTGCTGTACTACGTGAGTCGACCTCGACCTCTACCCCGACCTCGTGCGTTGAAGCTAACGATTGGCCACCCACACACAGCTCAACTACCTCACCAAGTACGTCGAATTCATCGACACGGTCTTCCTCGTCCTCAAGAAGAAGCCGCTCACCTTCCTGCACACGTACCACCACGGGGCCACGGCGCTCCTCTGCTTCGTGCAGATGGCGGGCCGCACGCCCGTGTCGTGGGTGCCCATCACGCTCAACCTGTCGGTGCACTGCGTCATGTACTTTTACTACTTCCAGTCGGCGCGCGGCGTGCAGTGCTGGTGGAAGCGCCACATCACCGTCATGCAGATCGTGCAGTTCGTCATCGACCTCGGCTTCGTCTACTTCACGGCGTACAACCTGTTCGTGTCGCGCCACCTCGCCGACGTGCTGCCCCACGTCGGCGCGTGCGACGGCGGCGAGGTCGCGGCCGTGACGGGCGCCGCCATCCTGACCAGCTATCTGTTCTTGTTCGTCGCTTTTTACTTTGCGACCTACAAGAAGAAGGCCCCCGCGGCCAAGTCGGCGGCGCAGAAGGCCTCGGATCTGCACAGGGTGGCGTCCAAGGCGTCGGTTGCGCTGGCGGCCGGTGGGGTCAAGCTGATGCCGGCGATCAAGGAGTAGGGGATGGCGGCGATGCGCTTTGGCTCTCTTATTTTCTCTGTTCTTTTTTGTTTCTGTCGGGTACGGGATCGCGGATCGCGGAAGGTTTGACGCCATAGACGGATAGATCGGGTCAGGGGTGATTGGGAGGAGTGGGCGGTGGAGCCGCAGGGTGGAGATCCAGGAACGGTTGTGGTGGTTGTTGCTTTGTTGATTGTTCCATGGCGCAGGGGCGATCATTGCTCTGTCTATTTTTGTGGTGTACAGGGGTTTCCTTTTTCTTTGTTTTTGTTCTTGTTCGCTTTGCTACCTAGACAACCAATGCCACGGCTTTGCTCCCTTCATCATTCACCTGGCCGCCAAGCGCGAAAAGCTTATTCTGGCTCGCTTAGATGCGTCATGATGCTTGTTCTGTTTCCAGCTTCGGGCCCCCTGTCAGCAACTTGTGGCTGGATTGGGAAGGGTGCCTATCTTTCTTGGCGAATCGCTGATCTAGCGCTGACGGATCGTGGAGTGGCCGTGGAGGCTTCCCGCCTGCCCGCCTGCTGCTTTTTTGAGCACCGCTTCGACGCCTCTGGGCCGGCAGTGCCTCGTGCTGGCGCCGCTAGTGTGGAACCGCGAAACCGTTGCGCGTTGTGCCGTCGCTAGGGCCACGTAACGTGTGGGCCCGACAGCCATGGCAGATGAGTGGCAGATCCGATCACCAAAAAAGCGGGGCTGCTCGTCGTCACGGAGTTGACAGCCGCATCCAGATGGTGCCGAAAGCGGAGGTTTCGCCAACAGCCACGCACGCTGATCCTGCGCTCTGTTCCTGAACAAACGCACAACGTATTGATGAGGGGGGCCGAGTGCACGACAGGTCGAATTAAGCAACCAAATACGCGTATGAGACGAGCAATCAGCACCGCCGCTCGCCAAGTCCGGGGAACCCAGCCCCCAGGGACAGCTGGCCGCTGGGCAAAGCTTGAGCCGGGCTGTGGGGGCTGGGCACAGTGCTTGCATCTTGCATCTGGCCGTCGCCGGGTAGCTAGCCGCCAACGGGGCCAGCGATCCTTGAAGGATTCTTGAAGGAATGCTTATCAATGGTTGGCACTCTGTCTGACAAGGCGCGGCACTTTGGGGGCTATCTGCTTACGATTCTCCCCCCGCATCTGGCAAGGCGGCACCAGCTTGTGTGAAACACCCGTCAGCCCGCACGTGTGTGCTCTGCTTCTGGTGGTGGCGCGGGCGCGGGTGCGCTCGAGTCGCTCTCGGCCAGGGCCTCCCGGTGGAGAACCAACCGCCCTGAATCGCGAGGCTGGCGGGCTCGCTGACTGAGCCGCAGCACTTGAGCCAAAGCAACCGGCAGGCACTGTTGCTGCTACCAAATTAGACCTCCAGCCAGGCCTCGTGTTGGTCTGTTCCGCCATCTTTGGATGCGGCTCTGGGAGAAATAAGTAGTCTCGTCGCCCAATTGATAGATACATCGCATCACATCGAGTGACGACTGCCTTCAGACAATCAACACAATGGCATCTGCACTCACCGACTCCATGGCCTCGTTCCAGGGCTTCACCACCGCTGCCGGCTTCCAGTCGCAGCAGCCCATGCAACAACCCGTCGACACGGGCATGTGCTCGGACGAGGAGGACTGGACCTCCGTGGCCGACGCCGCCGAGCGGAGACGGATCCAGAACCGCAACGCCCAGCGCAAATACCGTTGGTTGCCCCTCCACCTCCGCCCGTGTCTGCACCAACCACGCCCCCGCATTTACTGACTAGTCGCAGGCCGGAACCTCAAGCGCCGCGTGCAAGCCCTCGAGCAGCAGCAGCAACACCAGCAGCAATCCGCATATCACCACCGCCAGACCTCGCCCTTCCCATCCACCGGCAGCATCGACCTCCAGCACCTGTTCGGCCCCTCCAACTTCTCCATCCCCATGACCGCCGCCGCCACCCCCAGGAACACGCCGCTCCCCACGCCCCCTTGCGAGCCGTCGGCAGCGGCAATGGCCGCCTCGCAATGCGCCACCTGCCACCAATGCGGCAGCCTGGTGTCCATGGCGGCCGCAGACAGCGCCAGCCAGCTCCTCGGCATGACCACCCCGCCCTTCCAGCACATCGTCGAGGACTGGACGCAAACCATGTTCGACGACGTGCTGCCCGACATCAGCATGCCCGACAGCACCACGACCCCGGCCAACAGCGTCTCGGGAGCCGACTCATCATCATCATCCTCATCATCATCACACGTCGGCGCCGGCGGCCTGAACATCTCCCTCACCGGCCACGCCGACAGCACGACCACCACATCCGACGCCTCCGACAACATCAGCACCAACACCAAGCTCTCGTCCCCCCCGCCCTTTTCCACCTCCTCAGCCGCGTCGACAACCTCCACCCGCTCCCGCTCCGCCAGCGCCCGGCAATCGCTCTCCGGCCGCTCGCTGCTGCACATCGCGGCCGAGCGCGGCAACGACGCCATGGTGTCCTTCCTGCTCGAGCAGGGCGGCGACCCCAACGCCCGCGACGACATGGGCTGGACGCCGCTGCACCTCGCCGTCGAGCAGGGGCACAAGGGGACCGTCAGCCGGCTGCTCGAGGCGGGGGGGAACCTGTTTGCGAGGACGGAGTAGGGGGGTGCATGGAAGTATGCACGGGTGATGCGTGCTTGGCTTGGCTTTTCTTTTTCTTGGTCTTGGTCTTTCGTTTGTTGAACGGTTTGGTGGTGCTTTGCGGGATTTTTTGTTTTGTTTTGCATGTACAGAGCGTTTGGCGTTGGTGGTGGTACATACATACGATTGGGACGGGCTGATATCCTTGGGCTGCTGTTGTTTAATGCATTGCGTGGGCGCTTTGCACGGGATGGGTAAAATTTTCTGTTTTAGAGGGGAGAAGAGAAAGACAAGATTAGACGATCGTCAATGCATCTCTCGCTAGCAAGAATCATGCGTGGTACTATCAGTCATCGGAGCAGTACAGTGAGCGGGACCGGTCGTGTTTCATTTCTATGCTACGTCAGTTGCGATGGGCTCTCAACCCCGGCTGGGTTTACTGGTTGATGAAACCTTCTTTTCTGAAATGTGAATTTCAAACCTTAAGAAAGCTTGTGCGTGGTTTTTTTTTTTTTTCACACTGCGTCTACCCGCTTGATATCTAGAAGCAACTTCTCATATCTATCCCCCACATCGCACAGATCTCACAAAAATCGAGCAAGTATTGCGACATTATCCTTATCTTTTGAATGTTTTCACTCTTATTCTACCTAGTCTACCTCTTCTCTCCAAGCTGCCCAAATACAACCATCATGCAGTCCCCACCATGACGAAAACTTGCACAAGGTCCATCAAAACTTGGACTGCGGTTTCGCTGCCTTCGGCCGGCTTCCCGTGTCTACCTCTGTCTAACACGAGAAGTTCGGTGACGCATCTTCTTCAACTGTGGCTTGGAACGTTGGATTACGTTTCTCAAAGAAAGCCTTGACGCCTTGTTCCTAATCCTTAAGCAGCAGTCAATAATCTCGAAACTCCTCTGTCCCTCTCATACCCCGCACTGAACATGTGGTACAGCACGGCCGAATCCACCAGGGGCATGCCCTCAGCCGTTCCGGGACTATGCCGCATCAAGACGCGGTTCAAGTACGACGCCAGAGGGTTAGCGTTCTTGGCAATACTATGCGCCAGCTCCAGCGATCGGGTCATCCCCTTGGACGCGGGCGGGTAGCGTCTCTTGGAAGAGCGGGCCGAAGTGAGGCGAGGTGGGCGGGGAGACTTCGCCCGCTGTGATGAGCAGGTAGGACGCACGGGAGAAGCCGATGAGGCGCGGTAGGAAGGAGGAGATCAAACGATGGTTCAACCTTTGTTTGGTACTGTTGGCGAACGGCGCGCCACGCATCGAGACGCACCCGGGCTGAGGCTGTGCTTAGCTGATTGCTGTTGGAAGCGTCATGGTTATCCAGGGCTCAACTGCACAGCCTTGCATGTCGGCTTGCGACATAGGTAGATGGCAAGTGCGAGGCGGCTGCCGCTTTGCGGCAGCGAGTTCAGCGATGCTCTTATAAACAACGGTTCAATCAATGGCTAGAACATGCAAGCCTCGGCGATCTATGCTCCGCCCTTTACCGGCACCTGAGGAGAAATCAATTTAGAGATCTACTCAGGCACAGAAAGTCTTCCCGGCACCGGTGACACGACCTTGGCCAACTCGTCCACATCAAACAGGGGGAACACTGTCTCGAAATCCTGCATCATCCGCAAAGTGAATGCATTCTACTTCTTCTGCCAAATCTGCACGACGAAAACCACAGAGTTTGCAGTCATGGCACCCTCCGGATAGTGCGACACTTTGAAGTCTTTCGTTGGAACTTCTCGTACGAGGTGGGGACAAGGATGGGGTCGGGAGTGGGAATCACTTTGTTTTCGATGTGATGACTGGTAGCAAGCTGCTCTATACGTTCTTTAAAGAAGATGCGTGCTGATATCTCTACATGCTTTGGCCAAGACGATGCATGGCGATAGTTCTCGGTCTGGAGTCCGGTGTCCAGTAATCCTCCGCCTTCAACCACCACCAAACGCCAACACCTCTCCACACTGGCTGATCCAAGCTATGTGGGGAGTATAAGGGCTAAACCACATGCAAGTTACGTACTATCCGACCAATTAGAGACCCGACTGATTGGAGGTTGCCTTTTCCGGCGTAATAGAGCGAGCGGTAGTATAGAGCACTACCTCATATTGAATATTCTAGTGGACCACAGTAATTCTTTTATCCCCCAACGCTTTATACTGTATTGGCCAGTCAGATCCTAAGATATAACTGGTATAGGGTAGTTGTATTATGATTCCGCAACTTTCCTACGTCTGCACAAGCCTTAGTGGCAGCCATCGCGGTGGACATCACAGATAGGAAAGCCTGGCTGATAAAAAGCATGAATGATGATGATGGATCTAGAACCGGAGGGGTTCTAGATCCGCTATCTACGGATCCAGATCCAACTGGTTCCGGATCCGGCAGCTATGGAACTGGAAGCTGTGGAACTGGAAGCTGTGGAACTAGAAGCTATGGAACTGGAAGCTCCTGCCCGACCTCCTCACCGTGCCACTCAGCATGATCTACTTGTCCGGTTCATAGAGCATTGTGGTATTCGCAAACCTTCGATGAATTTCAAACCCCCACCCTTATCCAGAAATGGTATACGGCTTTGCGGTGACTTTTGGAAAACTTGATTTTCGAGAATACTGGAATTGAATGGACCTAATGACAAAACCGATCGTTCTACGACACCATGCATCCCACGTACCAACCCCCCCAAAAAAAACCATCTGAACCAAAGGCAGAAAAAGACACAAGCAAGCAAAGCCCCGCAAGCCAAAAACAAAAAAAGAAAAACGCCAGGTATGCCCCATCTCCCTCTCTTCCTCACACCTAAACCTTCGAAAACGCCGCTCCCCCCGCCGCCTCGTCCACCTCCCTCGCCTGATCCAACCCCACCACCTCAAACAGCTTCTTCGGCGTGACATGGCTCGGCACGCCCGTCACGCCCTCCGCCTTGAGCCTCTCAAACATGCCCTTCATCCCCACATACGCCGAGCTCAGCGCCGCCAACGAAAAAATCATCACCTTGAACCCCATCTCGCGCGCCTCCCCCACCGAGATCAACGGGCTCGCCCCATTCTCAATCGCATTCAACAGCAACGGCCACGGCCGCAGCTCCCGCACCGCGCGCGCCGCCTGCTCCTTGGACTGAAACCCCTCGAGGATGCCCACGTCGGCGCCGAGGTCGCGCGCGGCCCGCAGCCGCGCGACGCACTCGTCGTACCCGCGCGTCTGCAGCGCGTCCGTCCGCGCGATCAGCAGCATGTCGCTGCCGAGGGCGCGCAGCGCGTTCTTGGCCGCCCGGATCCGCAGCAGGTAGTCCGGGAGGGGGACGACTTCTTTGCCTGCGAGGTGCCCGCACCGCTTGGATAGGATTTGGTCTTCGATGTGGAACCCCGCGACGCCGGCGCGGTGGTACTGCGCGACGGCGCGGGCGATGACGACGGGGCCGCCGTAGCCGGCTGGGAGGGTGTTAGTGTGGGGACGAGGGAGGAAGGGG